ATTTTAGTGTTTACCAGAGGGGGTTCTGGAGAACATTATCCATTCGATGGAGTTGGGGGAGCTGGCTTAAGAAATGCTGTATGCAGTGTCTTCCTCTTAGAAGGCACATTAGCATGTTAAGGCTCTGAGAAGTCCTGCAGCAAGCAACCAATTTAACATTGCAGTGTGGCTCAAATTTACTTCACCTTGAAATTTTCCTACCTTGTAGCACCTATTAAAGCTTCATAGAAGACTTTGGAAAAGCCGGTCAGACTTGTTCCCTAGGCATCCAATCACAGCCTGTTCAGCAAACAGACCATCCTGGGTTATAGAGTTTGGGGTCTTGCCCATCATCCCCAGGACACACACAGGGAACTATGAAGCATCTCCGAGCAGATAGAAAGCTGTCATGACTGGTGCTGGTGGCACAAACCTCATTGTCGTGAGTCATGCAGCCACTCCTGCCCACTCAGATCTAAAATACGTGGCAAACTGCATGGTCATGGCTGCCTCTGAGATAGACTCCGTGACTAACTTCTCTAAAAAAAGCAGTTTAAATTCATAAGCAGAGCCCTCAACTCCACATCAGCAGAGCCGTCGGACCCCATCAGCTGAGCCGTCGGACCCCATCAGCTCTGTAAGCTCGGTGGCTCAGCCTGTAATCCCGCGCCTTTGGGAGGCTGAGGTGAGTGGATTGCCTGAGCCCGCGGGTTCGAGACCCACCTGGGTAGTGAGACCTCATCTCTACAATAAATAAAAAAAACAGCCGGGCGTAGTAGCACATGCCTGTAATTCCGACTACTTGGAAGGCTGAGGCGGAAGGATTGCCAGAGCCCAGCAGGTTGAGGCTGTGGTGGCCGGGAGCGGCCACTGCACTCCAATCTGGGCGACAGAGTGAGACTCCAACTCAAAAAAAAAAACACAAAAAACAAAACTCCTTTTGCCTTGTCCCCTGGGGGTTTCTGGCTTTATGTTCTTATTCTCAAAGGAGTGCCCAAGGCATTTCTTCAGGGCAGGACATTCTTTCCTAGGGCACCTGTCCATTGGTTGAGACAGTGATGTTGAGGTGGGTTGCCCAGGCACACAGGATGATGGTGGGTAGCCCAGAATGGCACTTGGGAAAAGCCAAGAGGCTTTGGAAGAGTCAGCACAGACCCAGAGACCCATGGTTCCTCCCATAGACCCTGCCTATGAGTGCCTGAACTGCCCACATTGGCACAACATAAGAACATGCTGCCAGGGTTGGTCCAGAATTCTGACCCATGGGGCCTCTGGGCAAAGAACACAGTATAGCCACACCCTTAGGGAGGAGCACCCACTTCCTCTCCTAAATGTCCACTGTGAATGCATATTAGCCTTTGTAAACTTACTGGAACACTCTGCTGTACAGCCCCTTGGGACTAGTTTTGTGTTGATTCTTTAATATCTGAAGAACTTCCTTTCCTTTAGCCTTTGAACATCTCATTTAAAGTCTCAAGGGCTATCTCTGACCTTTGCTGCTGAGAGAATTGGTGAAAGAAACATGTGTGTTCCAGGCCAAACCCTCCCTTTTATAACTATGACCTCTGTGATTTCATCTTTCCAGGAAGAAGATATTCTCCCAATGATTCATTAGCAGATATTTATCTGTTATTCATTCATTTATTCATCCACTCCACAAATATTTATTGAAGGTCCCCTAGGTCCCAAGCACTTCTAGGAGCTGGAAATAGAGAATAAAACACTCCCTCTCTTTTAGGACAGATAATAAGTAAACTTTTAGAAATAAAAGATACAGGGTAACCTACAAAGTACTGTTCTAAGCCTGAGGGAGCTTTCAGAGAGCATAAGATACAGATGTAAACAACTGGTATCTTTTTCAGGAATTGTTACTTACAAGAAACCCACTCAAACTAGCTCAGGTAAAAAAGGGGAATACTGTTAGGAACTAGATATTCTACAGAAGTATAGGGCAGGGACAGAACAATGAGCTCTAAAAGCCATCATCTCTTTTGGGTACATTTACATTCTCATCTATTTCCTCTTCCTCTTTCTTTTTTGTATTGCTTCCCTCCATCCCACCTTCCTTCCTTATTCCCTTCTTCCTTCTTCCCCCTCTGATAAGAAGCATGAGTGGGAAATGGTTGGCATCTCTACTACAAATGGAACAAAATCGAGTAATTAGGGCAGAAGGGCAGTCTGAGCATAGAAAGGGCCATTCAAGTTGGGAGGCGAGAGGATAACTTAAAGCACAATGGAATTGGGGAAGACTTTCCGGGGGAGGTGCTGTTTGTGTTGGGCCTTGGTGTGAGGAGGCTTTGGGTACTCAGTGGAGAGGAGCGGCTATTCCCAGAACAGAGCACAGCATGTGTAGAGGCACCCAACTCAGAGCACCAGGGGGAATGGGTGAAAACGGTCCTAATTACTTACAGTCTCTCTCCATCCCTGTGATGCCTTTAGTTGGGTTGGGTTTCTCTGTCCCTCTTTGGAGTGGACAGGATTCTCCTGAGTGCCACAGCTTGGATTTGCAGGCTAGACTACAGAAGCAGATGGGGTATGGTTGAGGAGGGAACCAGGGGATGCAATCACAGCTGTCAAGGGTAGGGATGGGCGAGAGAGGGGATGGGAGAAATGCTTTCCAATGAAGGTCAGAAAGTCATATATTGGGATCCAGGCAACACCGTGTAGATTTAACCACCCACCCACTTGTTAGTGACCTGAGTGTCAAGTTATCCTATGACAGGAGCTTTGACCAACAAGTTAGATCACAGGCATAGGCCTCCAGTCTGCCAGTGATTTGCATTCAGCAATTGAATGTTTACTGGGCTCCTCTGTGTTGGGCACTGTAAAACCAGAGCCCGCGGGTTCGAGACCCGCCTGGGCAGTGAAGACCTTATCTCTACAATAAATAAAAAAAAAATCAGCCGGGCATGGTGGCGCATGCCTGTAATTCCGGCTACTTGGAAGGCTGAGGTGGAAGGATCGCCGGAGCCCAGCAGGTCGAGGCTGCAGTGGCCGGGAGTGGCCACTGCACTCCAGTCTGGGCGACAGAGTGAGACTCCAACTCAAAAAAAAAAAAGAAAAACAAAACAAACAAACAAAAAAACCCATCATCTTTTTGGTCACATCTGAGAACTCCCTGAGTAGTACCATCAGAGAGCACAGGGCAAGGGACTCATGAAGGGGGCCTCATGGAGGAGACAGGCTGAGTGGCATTTCATCTGCCTCTGGGGCCTTGAAAGGGTGAGGATGGGGAATTTGTGCAGGTATCCCCAGTGGGCCAGTGCTTTCATTCGAGTCCCCTTGTGTTGGCTTTACACTAAGTCTGAAAAGTAGAGATCTTCCCCACTTTTTTATTCATTTTTATTTATTTGTTTTTTGAGTTGGAGTCTCACTCTGTCGCTCAGGCTGGCACACTGACGGCCACCCCAGTGTCGACCTACTGGGCTCTGGTGATCCTTCCGCCTCAGCCTTCCAAGTAGCTGGAACTGCAGCCACGTGCTACCACGCCCGGCTAATTTCTGGTTAATTTTAGAGATGAGGTCTTGCCAAGTTGCCCGGGTTGGTCTTGAACCTCTGGGCTCAGGCAATTCACTTGCCTCGCTCTCCCAAAGTGCTGGGATTATAGCCTGAGCCTCTGAGCCTGACGAATCTCCCCCACTTTTTAAGGAGGAAGCTGAGACTCAGAAATTAAGATACCTTTCTGAGGTTACACAGTTGGATGGTGGAGCTGGGATATAGACTTAATTCTGTTTGGTTGCAAAGTCCATCCTGGCATGCCACCATGTGTGTTTCCCCAAGACCTGGGGACCTGTGGCAAGCCCTCTGGGGGCATGAGGTTTTCCAGATTGGGATGATGGGAAGAGCTGCTCTCCCTTACTGTGGGTAGCTGGAATCTCAATTTCTCCACATCTCGATAACCTCTGGTCCTCAAGCCAGCATTTTACATGACAAAGACAACCTACTTCAGGCTGCTTCCTGCAAGTTTAGGTATGCTATGAGTCAAAACATGTCTCAGAGTCTGACTGGCACATGCAGCATAAGCTAGAAAGTACAGGTCTTTCCATGATCAGAAGCTGGCCCAGGGGAGAGCCCTGTCATCTGCGGCTTATGCTGCACTCAGAGCCAAATCCATGAGTCTGTTTTGCTGACTGTCTGTCCATCCTCTGCATCAGGTGTTGACCGTCTAATGGATCTGGGGCTTGATGGCTTGGGTATAAGTGCCTTATAGGCAACTCATCTGTTATGTGACATTTAGTCACTCTGAGTCTTGGTTTCCTCTTCTCTGAGAATAACATGTGTTCCAACGGTCTTACAGTGTTGTTAAAAGGATTGTGTGAAGTAGCATTAAAGTGCCTTGTGAACTGCAAAGCCCTGTCCAAGTGTTGGGTATTATTGTTCAGACAAGCTCATGTTCAAGCTTATAGGCCTTTGTCCTGTTATGAGCTCCCCGAGGACAAGGAGGGCTTCTGAGACTAGGTTTTACTGTCCACAGTCAACCTCATTCACTTCAGGTTCAGATCTGTGGATGGCAGTGAATGCCTTAGCTGCAGCCCTGACTGGGGATTCAATTGAATTTGCCTGCCCTGGAGTGTGGTTTAGACCAGAGATACTCAAACTTTTGTGCAGAGATTCTAAAGACATCTGAGATGAAGCCAGAAAAATGGTTTTTGAAAGGCTCACCAGGTTATTCTAACTTGCAGGCAAGGATAGACTAAAGAGGGTCAAGTCTCAGAGGCCAGGACAGTATCCTGGGAGGATGCTATTTGGACTCTCCAGCTTCCTGGCATGTGGGGATGAAAGAAAATGGAGTTTGTTCCTCTTGAAGGGAATGGCAGGGAGAGCCAACTCCTGGCTGTTGGAAATCTGGGCTCAGTGTCAAGAGAAGGAAAGGGATGTCAGTGCTGAGAAAGGCCCTGTGAGGCCCAGTCTCTTGGCAGCCTATGGGCCAGAAGGAGAGACTCGTGGCAGGCAGAGGGGCCAAGCCTGGCTGCTGGAGCCACTGTGCGGCTAATGCAGGGTGTCATTCTGTCTCTCTCCAGATCGTGTTCCGGAAGATCAGTGATGTGAAACGAGAAGAGGAAGAGCGCATGAAACGGAAGAACGAGGCCCCCCTGATCTTGCCCCCTGACCACCCTGTCCGGCGACTCTTCCAGAGGTTCCGGCAGCAGAAAGAGGCCAGGCTGGCGGCGGAGAGAGGGGGCCGGGACCTGGACGACCTGGATGTGGAGAAGGGCAATGTCCTCACTGAGCACACCTCGGCCAACCACAGCCTCGTGAAGGCCAGTGTCGTCACTGTGCGTGAGAGCCCGGCCACACCCGTATCTTTCCAGGCAGCTTCTACCTCTGGAGTGCCAGACCATGCCAAGCTGCATGCGCCGGGGTCCGAGTGCCTGGGCCCCAAGGGGGGCGGGGGCGACTGTGCCAAGCGCAAAGGCTGGGCCCGCTTCAAAGATGCTTGTGGGAAGGGCGAGGACTGGAACAAAGTGTCCAAGGCCGAGTCAATGGAGACGCTCCCAGAGAGGACAAAGGCATCAGGTGAGGCCACGCTGAAGAAGACAGACTCTTGTGACAGCGGCATCACCAAGAGCGACTTGCGCCTGGACAACGTGGGTGAGGCCAGGAGTCCCCAGGACCGCAGCCCCATCCTGGCAGAGGTCAAGCATTCCTTCTATCCCATCCCTGAGCAGACGCTGCAGGCCACGGTCCTGGAGGTGAGGCACGAGCTGAAGGAGGACATCAAGGCCTTGAATGCCAAAATGACCAATATTGAGAAACAGCTCTCTGAGATACTCAGGATATTAACTTCCAGAAGATCTTCTCAGTCTCCTCAGGAGCTGTTTGAAATATCGAGGCCTCAGTCCCCAGAATCAGAGAGAGACATTTTTGGAGCCAGCTGAGAGGTCTGCTAAAATAAAAAAGTCAAAGACAAAAACCTACACCCTGCCCTTGACACCATCCCTACCACACATGCCCACATGACCAACAATTTTCAAGTAGGCTTTTCCTGACAGAAAATCTAAGTGGGGCCAGTGGCTTAGGCATGTCTCTCTCTTTCTCTATCTGGAAAAAGATATGAGAAGGGTAGCGTGCCCCTACCCTGCAAGATGGCAGCTGCATCTGAACTGTCTTTGCACAATTTTGGAAGAAGGGACGTGCTGTCTAAAGGGTATTTTCCTTCATTTTAAATTTTTTACTACCATGATATTTGTAAATGATTAAAACTACCAGAACAGAGCAGCAGCCATCTGGGGACTGGCGGGGGAGTGCTGAGAACCCCCGTGTATATATCATGCTGGGCTCCTTTGCCAAGACCCCTCAAAGACTGTGGTGGGCCAGGGACTTCCCAGCACCCCCGTCCTTGTACAGCCTGTGTCTGACATCACCGTATATTTTCCTATAGTCATCATTGGTGACAAGCTTGGGACAAGGGGAGTTTGAGGGACAGGAGGGCAGAGCCCGTGAACTAATGGTTAAGGCCAAAAAAGCAGCTGCAGGTGCTGTGTGTGCCTCCCACAGACACTGAGATCTAGGAATCCTCAGGTCTCCTTCCCAAAAGAGGTGAGGGAAGAATAAGAGCTGGAGGGAGGCCTTGAAATCCAGGGGTTCTCCACCATGTTGACAGGGAGGGCTCCAGAGGCCCCAGACGAGCCTCTGGCCTGCTCGCCTGCTCCACGCCGCTGGTTTCACACACAGGCTCCTTTGCTTCTTTCCCTTCTTGACCTGTTCCCAAGTGTTCCCATGGCATTCCTCAGGGTATGGAGCATCGGCAGGAAGGGTCATGAGCCCAGCATTGCTTTATTAAAGCAGACACACCGACACACACAACCTCAGAAAAACGATTGTAGCAAGTGCTGTTTATATTTTGATTCTCTTCGGGGTTGCCCTTCAGAAGTTTGTATTTTGTTCACTGCACAGGGTCATTATAGGACACTTGGGAGCCATGCTTGACCTTATTTTAAAGCCAACCTCTTTCCTATTAAAAGAGGATTCAGAAAAAGATGGCAGGACCAAAGTTATATGTTCTTCAGAAGCTGGAAAGAGAACGAATCGGCACGTTTCCCATTCCAGTTGTCTCTGAGATGAGGGAGAGTGGTGACCATGGGTGTAGCCCATGGGGGAAGGGCTGAGCTCAGAGTGATGGTCATGGGGCCACTTTTGGGCCATGTGAGTCCCTATGCCAACAGGCTCGGGACTCCACTGCCTTATAATCACCTGGGTCAGGTTATTTGTAGGCTTGAGCTTCTCTCAATGGTGTTTGATAAAGGAAAGAGGAGAGGGCTCTTCCAGGTACAGTGGAGCTGGCCCAGGTGTATGCTGGAGAGGTGTCAGGACCCTAGACACTGACAAGCAAGGCTAGAAGCTCAGCTCTGAAAAGCTGGTCCAAGAGAGTAGAAATAGGAGTGTAGGAGACAGCATGGACTCATCCAGGGTGAGGACCTTTGCCTGTGCAACAAGCAACCCCATCCCTGCACCTCTGCCCTACCAAAGATACTCAAGCATTTCTGAAGGTCCCTGGCCAGAGCCGGCCCCCACTCTCCCTCCTCAGTCCTGCTCAGTGACCACGCAAGTCCCAGGGCTGGTCCTTGGTTGTCAATGCAGTTTAGGGTTGACCTCTCCTGGTTCGCAGGGTTGGGAGCTCAAGGGCAGGCTCCCCACACCAGACACCCCGCCCGTGCACGTAGCTTCTCACGTGAAGCGTACAGGGCTGGCCCCTGGCTTCCCCAGGCTATCACATGATTAGATTTAGCCTCAGATGGCAGCATACAAAGAAGAGGAAGTGTGATTTCCCAAAGCCGAGCCACAACTGTTTGTGACTTCGAAGAAAGCTGTGAGGCATTTAGCCTCTTCAACTTGAGAAGCTGCCAGCTGGTCCTTGGTGCAGAGGCCATAAAATATCTAGAATTCTTTCTGCTGCCTGTCCCTAATGTTCTAGTTTGCCATTTCTTAAACATGCTCCTTAACCTGCCTTGCAAGTTTTGGACCCACTACATGTAAGGTAGTCAGGGCCCCTAGTCACCCTCAACACATCCAGCTTCAGAAGCACCCACCGCTGGAGACTTTTCAAACCTCCCAGCTCTGTGAGGACACAATGACAGGCTCCTGTCCACCGCCCTGCTGGCCAACGCGGAAAGGCCCTGCTGCTGCCTTCCAGCTCTGCCTGACGGGGACAGTGTTTAATAAGAAATTGTTCCCCATCTGGGTCTGAGGGGCAAAGATTCCATGGGGCCTTGAAGTCAGCCTTGTTTTGCCAGGGAAATAAAGCTTCAGGAATGTGCTCCTGGATGAGTGTGAATTGGGCTAGTGACGGAAGCCAGGTCCTGCAGTGGGAATCTGCTCATCTCAGGGTGACAGGGCCCACAGCTCGTGTTCCTGTGGGTTACGGTGAGCACCATAAGTGTAGCTATATATGATATTTTTCTCCTTTAATCCTCCCTAGGATTTTAGGGATTTTTTTTTCTTGCTATAATTGTTTTCTGTGGGGGAAAAAATGCTTTTTAAATGAGCCAAACCCCTCTCTCCTTTCCCTGTACGACATGCACTTGGCCGCAGGCTGCTTCGTGCTGACGCCTTCCCTTGCCAGGATGCTACTCTGGCTTCCCGTGCAAGGACCACGAGCTTCAGATACTACTGACCAGAACCTTCCAGGATAAACCATTATCTGGTGGCTGACGAGAGATTAGGGGAAAAAAAGTTACTAGGTATTGGACAGAACATTTAGACTTCAAATAAATTGTGCCTGGGATATAGATTTGCCTGGGATATTTTCTCCTTTTTGAGGGGAGGGGGCATGATGGGTTGCACCATTGTCTAGTAAGTGCTGGCTCCTTGAGTGCTACTGAACTCTTTTATTTTGAATGTCATTCTTAGGAAACTCCATTTCCCAGAGAATATCCTGATAGGCTGCTTTGAAGTGGGGAGGTCCTGCCCCTGTCACTTGGCTGCACGTTAAACATGCTCTCCCCCACTGACGGAGGTGTGGCATGACAGTTGACTATAAGAAATAAGAAGGCCAACAAGTTGGTATATTTTGTTCTTGGTGGAGGGCACTGGCTCTGGCAATGGGTGCTGCCATCCCATATACCCACAAAGAGCTCCTCCACTGGGCATGCATGACAAGATAGCCAAAGGAAGGAGAGGGAGGGTGGCCATTTGGTTGAGAAGCTCTGGTCTAGTGCACAATTAATGCAACTAATTAACTGCATTAATTAATGCAATGTTACATTATGCTAATAAGGCTAAAACATGAATGCTACAACATGACCCAAGTGTTTAAACAGCTATGCCCATTTCAGCAGACTTCCAGCAAACTTTTGGAAATTCATTTATTACTTTGATTTCTTTTTGTTATCCAATTCCTGGGATTTGTTTCACCTTCAGTCTCTAAGATCCTATGTGCTACTGCTGGCCAAAATCAGCCCCTTGCCTGGAAAGTGGGAAGAGCTGGGCAAGGGGCAAAAATGCACTCTACCAACCAACAGGCCTCCTTTCCAGCTCCTTAGGTGGAAGGTGAAAGCATTAAGCCTAACTTTTTGTCCAAGCCCACATGGGGACTAAATGAACTCTTTAGGAATCCCAGGCAGAGGAAGGTCCTTGTTTCCCCCAGTGGCACTGACCGCTACATCTCACATGGGAAGATTTTTGAAGCCCTGATAGAGATATAAGTTGCTGATGTGCATTTGATTAATAGATTGTACTATGTTTTGCAATAAAGACGTTTAGCCTTAAGACCCTTGAATGGAACTCCAGCTGTGATGGAGCCGCCAACACTTTCCTCTCTCCCTCCTCACCTCGTGTTGCTTAAAGAGGAGGCTCACTGAGGGCAGACTCAAGGCCCTGGACAGCTTCCCTCTGTTGCTAAACCATTGTTTTTGCTCTATATACTGCCTTCTCACTTGCTTCAATAAAAATTACGTTCACCAGCTCCTGTGCCCTCCACCTGGAGGAGACTTTCACGGTCCTCGCAGCACTAACTGCAAATATCAGAGAAAGCACCATTTTCTCACCAAAGGTGTTCACGTTGAGAAATTTAATTTCCACCTCCCACAGTTCAAAAGGATCAATGTGAATTTATCTGCAGCTTAAATTAGTTGCAAATGAAACTTCATTCACATGTAAGCATATCAGACTTACTCTGGAACCTCTAGAACTGGACTTGAATACCCTGCAGGTGCCAGACCAGCGGGTGCCCTCCCTGTCTGTCATTAAACTTTTCTTAGAGCCATTGTCTCTATATCTGTGGCTTCTGAGTCATCCAACGGATTTGTTAGTTGTTCGTTCGATGAGTTCACAGATCTTGTATCAGGATATGAACTGCTTTTATGTTAAGAAGGATGCAATCCCCCCAATGAATGTATTCTCTTAATATTCAGACGCTGTATTTGTGCATCAGTTGGAGACTGTCCGCATCCAATATTTCACTGACATCACAAGAACACTTCTACTCATGAGCAGTTCATCATTCTGGGGCTTCTCCTTATAGACACACTCTTGCCATCGAGTCCCGCCAAATCCTTTATTGGGCTTTTCTTTATCCTTTGCATCTGTCACTTTGCCCAAACGAGCATGAATAAACAAAAGTGCAAATGAGCTGATACTATTTTTTGCGGTCAGCTGAGGATGCTGCCAGGAACTCCACTGTATGTCTGTGGCTTGGGAATTTTTAAGAGGAACACGCGGGTCCCTCCATTGATGATATTCCCTTCTCAACATTTTTAAACAAGCACAAATGATATTTGTAAAAAAAAAAGTTTAATTTTATTTATTATGGTAATAAACTATTTTATACATGACACTTGCTTTTGCCTTTCCTTACATAATTTTTAGTCATTGAATTGGGTGTTCTGACTTAAAATGACAAAACAAGGATGATATTTTTCTACTCCTTTGCAAGAGTTTGGGAAGCTCTAATTTGGAGAGCAATTATGATTGTGTTATTTTGAGAACTTGAAATTCTAGAGACACTAAGATTATGTGTCCAAGTATTGTACAGTGAGATAAGGGGTATGAAGGCATGCGGCCGTACAGCCTTAGAGCCGCTCTTCCCTCCTTTGTGAGTGTGCAGAGATGGCCCTCACAATCTGGTCGCACACTGATGTGAGGCATAGTTGAAGTTGACCTCCCACTTATGAACTTTTAAATTTTGTATAAAATGCATTCGTGCTTCCCTGCCTTTTAGAGCTCAGCAAGAACAGCATGACTAAATCTTTTGTGAATGACTCAGTGTCAACAATATGAATTCTGATCTGTGTTTTACTGATGGTCTCAGACACTATTAAGGTAGAAGACTGCTTGCCCCTTATCTAAATAGTCCCATACGCTGGCATGGTTTCTGTTCTGCTATTATTTGGTATTCTCTCTCATGGTGAGACCACAACGCTGCCAGCCTGAGTTCTGATCTAATATCCGGTGGACGTTTCAAAAATGGCACATTTTTTTTTTTTTTTTGAATCAGGGTTTCAATCTGTCACCCAGTGGCATGATCATAGCTCACTGCTTCCTGGACTCGGGTGATCCTTCACCTCAGCCACCCCAGTAGCTGGGACTGCAGGCATGCCACCAGGTCTTGCTAATTTTCTGTAGAGACAAGTTCTCACTACATTGCTTAGGCTGATCTCAAACTCCTGGGTCAAATGATCCTTCTGCCTTGGCCTCCCAAAGTAACAAAACAAAGATGGTGTTTTAAAATCTTTTGCAAGAGTTTGGGAAGCTCTAATTTGGAGAATATTTATCATTGTGGTTTTTTGAGAACTTAAAATTCTATAGGATTACAGGCATGAGCGATCGTGCTTAGCTAGCACTTCTCTATTTAAAGACCATGTAACTTAATTTAGGGCCGATAAATCTGTGATGTACAGGCTTCTGCTTGATCTCTCAGGGTCATAGTACAAATACAGTATTTTTAATGATGTTCCCTCCACCCCATATTATTTCATTACATTGCAGAAAAGCATAATAAAAATAACTTAAAGGTGAATTATGCAAAATTCCAAATGGTTTATGTTTATTTCAAAAGTATTACCTAATAAAGCACTAAACAACACATTATTTAGATATCTTCAGTGGCAAAAGAAATCTTTTTTGTGAATATGATTTTTGTAATTGGTCAAAATGACTAGAAATATGGAGTAACAAATATTATGTTTTGAGTGCTAAATAGGTTTCAACTATAAGAGAAAGAGGGTTTTTGTTTTAAAACAAAATAATTTCCCTGAGAAAGGCATCAGAGAGACTTCCTCAAAATGCACTGAGAATGCCAGTACTATCAAGATAATCTGGCTTCCCATGATAGCCACACTGAAGGAAGGGAAGCCTATTGTATGGGCACATTCTTGTACATCTACTAAACACAAACTCATTATGTTAATTCCTATATTTAGTCAAGTTATATTATTATTTTAAAAAAGAAAAGTGAATTGTCTCAATTTCTCTAAGGGGGACCCCTCCCACACTAAATTGCAATTCTCTCATTATATAGATCATTATATAATTACATGTATAATTGATGGATATTTTTTTTCCCTCTAGGCCTGCTGTCTTTAATAGAACAAAATGTTTTCTGCTGTCACTTCAAGCAAGTTAATCTAAAGAAATAATACCTTTAAGTCCTCTTGTGTGGTCCCAAGAGTCAGTCAAAATGACTGAAGTTTAGGTGTCCTTCAGGTGTCTTGCTTCTGTGGGTATCACCTTGGTGACTGTACTTGGAGCTCTTGAGCTTGCCCACAGAGCTAGGCTGAGATCTGAGGATCCTGTGGTTGGAAGTGACACTGAGACCTTGTCTGCTCTTTGCTCAACACCATGCATGAAGTTGCCCAGGGCTGATGACATGTCCAATGTCCTCAGATGAACTTCTCTGTGTACCCAGACACCACCAGTGTCTTTCATCTAGAGAAACTCCAATATTTTTGTTCATATGCATGAAGAGAGAAGTATTACCATTTTCATATGACAGCTAGGGAGTAGTTAAAGGTTAAAGAAAACAATAGCCTGGACAATCCACATATTGGTTAATCAGCCACAAATACAGAGCTAAACACAGTAATCATTAATTAATTCCTGAGAACCATTCTGAGTCATATAATAGTTTAAAAGAAATTCAGGATTATTACTTTCATATATATTCACTGACTCTTCATAGTTTAATGAATAAAAGCCTGTTTTTAAAATAAATGGTATGTTTGGAAGAACTCAAAATTTTTTGTTGTACACACACACACACACACACACACACACACACACACACACACATATACATTAAATACTTTCCCACAATCATTTTTATATTCCCCTATTGCTTTTTTTTTTCTTAGCAAGCCCTTTCCTTTCAAGTAAACTTCAGCTGCACTCCTTCTGGCTGGCCACAAATCCTGACTCAGTGTTAGTCCATGAAGTTTTACTACATATGTTTGGGCGCTCATTCTTCCCTCGGCCTCATTCCTCCCTTAAAATGACTCAGCACCCTGGAATCTCCTTCCCATGTCTCTCTCTCCTCTACCAAGCCAGCTACTGAGACTGCTGCTGCCCAGGTCCACTGCCCCCCTCTGGCCTTTGCCTTAGCTGATGTGTAGTGTGCCCACCCCAGGTTGTCAGCATCTGGTCCCCTTCCCTCTCTCTTCCAAGCAAAACAGCTAGGAAGAAAGACAGGCAGCAAAATGGGTTGACAACCAAGACACAAGGGCCATACCATGTAGCAAATATAAGACAACCATTAGCTCAATGACAATTTAATTCATGAGCTTGAGATGTTGTAAGTTCTCCCATACTAGAATACACTGTGGATTCAAATTTTAAAGCTTCTGTACTCCTCCCCCCACAAAAAAATCTAAAGTCAAACAGAAGTATTCTGAATTATCTATCACTTGGGGCCATCGGTCGCCTATCCACAGCATCTTTCTAAAGAAGTGAATAATCAAGTTATGTAAGTATATTTAGATTTTAAACATTTTCCTTAAAAACATTCAAAATAATCATACAAAAAATAAGTTATCTACATGACAGAAAATACTCTATTTGAATCAAAACAAAACAATATAAACCACTGGCACAGACCCAGGAGGAAGATGCTGATTTTGGGGATTTGTGTGGAGAGGATGGGTGAGACCCCACGAAGCCAAACTTACCTTTTGTGACTTGCTTGGTAGCACCTGTCTGTGGATACACTATTCTGTGGTTTTTAAATATTATCTTTATTGGAAAACAATTCAAAATCAGGTGGATAAAATACCATATTTATACGTCCTGCAAATCCCAGGAACAGGCAGCCAAATGTAGATCACTCCTGATGAAGTTCAAATCACAGGACTACTTGGGTACAGACTCCTTGGAATGCCCCAGGACTGCTTCTAACTTCTTTGGATAATTAGAAACACAGATGTGGCTCTGTCTTCTTCCTGCAGAGGAACTGGAGTATGAAGCTCAAACTCCAAGGCTGGTTCTAGACACACTTGCAGACACGGGGAAAGGGGTTCCTTCAGTATAAATGTCACTCAAATGTTTTAGAAATACCGCCCAGTAGAGGACAGGCTTATCCCGAATCAGGGTTTCTTTGCCTCAAACAAGAAATGTCCATTCTTGGTAAAGGAGAAAGAACCCAAATGGCACATGGATCTAGGTTCTAGAACAAAATGTCACCACGTGTAGCTAGACAAGATACTCCACTGCCCCGGACCTCAGCTTAATCAAGAGGAAAATAATGGGTTGGGGTAGAGATGTCTAAGGTCCCAAAGTTAGAAGATTGTCTGGTTGTAAATTTTTTTTTTTTTTTACAAGAGCTCAAGCTTCCAGTCTTGGAGTGAGGTGACCTAAACAGAAGATGAGTAGATCAAGCACTGGTCCCTTGGAGGTTATCTTGGAGAGGGAAGTCAGGGTGAAGCACCATTTGCCTTGGAGGCCAGCAGCATTAGTCCACAGCATAGGTCTGAGCCCAGGCAATGCCTACATGAGAGTAGCAGTACAGGAATCCAAGGACAGAGAGGGTCACCCATGGCCAGCCTGTAGGGGGAGGACAGAGATGGAAGAGTGATCAGAAATGTCTGGAGCAGGAACTCCCACACCGGCAAACTGTCCCTTTTGGAGAAGGCAACCTAAGAAACAACACAAGACAACTCCTTCGGGTCCCCTCCCACTGTGGGAACTTTTCTGTCTTCTCAATAAATCCTGTTTTCTCAACAACAACAACAACAAAACCCCCCAAACAAAACAAACCCACAGGCCTCAGTTTATACAGTAAGACTCTAGCCTCCTAGAAAGTCTGCTATAGCTGGAACTTCAGCAAGTTGAGTCCTATATTCCCAGGGTGGTCAGCATAAATTGAGGGGTGCATTATCTCAAATGCAAACCATGTTTCGAAGTAGGGTAAGCTTTTAAAGAATCCATGTTTAGAGGACTAAGGCAGTTAATAATTTTTTAAAAAGTCCACGAGACCCATAGGAAATCTCAACATCCTGATATGGAATTGAGTACCATTTGTGAGCACACACAAGGGGGAGCCTAAATTAAATATTTGCTTTCAAAACTCAAAGCTTTTAGTGATTCCTTCTACAAATACTTGTCTTAGAATATGTGATGTTCTTTTTTTTCTTCTTTTAAAAAAACTAATAGAACTTTCTGCTGAGTATTTGTTACTTAACGATCTTTATGTCTTCTGTATGCTTCACTTATTTAAACATTTATTGGGGGTTTTGGAGAGCCAGAGATGCTGGGGAAGATACCAGATGCCAAAACAGAAAGAGCCCATCCTGTGTCAAAGGCTACTTCAGCTTGGAAAAGACACACACACACTCAGAGGATTTATGATCCAAACTGGGCCATGTGGGCTGAGCAAGAGTTTGTCTGATGCAAAGTGACAGGACAAGCCACCCAACAGACCATCTGAAATGTGAACTCACAGGTCATCCAAGGAACGGAGTTCATGTGATGTGGCTCTTAACCCTGCCCACAGGGAAAGGCAGGTGGGGGTAAGAGAAGGAAGGAGGCTATGGAAGCCCCCAAGGGTTATTCTAACTCTGGCAGGTTCTCTTCTTGCAATTCCAATCATTAGCTGCCATTATCACTAATATGGCATAGGTAAGTCACTGTACCATAGTGGTTAAATGTACAAACTCTTACGTGGGATGAGACACAAGTTCAAATTCTGGCTCTACCACTTGCCAGCTGTGTAACCTAAAACATGTTAACACAACTCTAATATAAAACTAGGGATAGAGCTATGTACTTAATAATGTCTTCACAAAGACTGAGTGAAATGATGTACAGGTTTGCACAGTGAATGGCCTATAGTGGGAACTAAAACATAAGTAGTAATAACAATGGTGAGATGGCACAGAAGTCTTTCTCTACCAGGATTAGAGTGACAATGGGGAAGTCAAGGCCTGGTCTATCTTACTCCTTAGACTGACCTGCCATGCATTCTCACTGCAGGAAAGAGAGGCAAGGGCAGCAGAAGAACCCTGGCAGACTGGCTCCAGGACCAGCCCTATGGCCTCACCTCCTGTCTGCTAGTCAACCAGTATATCTGTTTCCTGTGGCTGCCATAACAAACTACCAAACATAGTGAATTAAAACAACAGAAATGCATTATCTCACAATTCTAGAGACCTGAAATCAAGATGTTGGCAGGGCACACTTCCTTTGATGGCTCTAGGGGAGAATGCTTCCTTGCTTCTTCCAGCATCCTGGTATCCCCCGGCTGTGGCTGTATCACTCCAATCTCTGCCTCAGTGTTCAGATGGCTTCTCCCCTGTGTCTCTGGCATCAAATTTTTCTCTTATAAGGACACCAGTCATTGGATTTATAGCCCACCCTAAAACCAGGATGACTTCCTCACAAGATCCTTAACAAATTATATCTGCAAAAAACCTATTTCCAAATAAAGTCACATTCTGAGCTTCCATATATGCAAGAATTTTGGGGAGAAATCTATACCTGGCTCAGAACAGTCAGGCACTTCCTTGAAGCTTCCAGATGGATCCATCGAGCCTGGAGGCTCTCAGATCTCTCACTACTGTGGCTCAGACACAGATGCCAGGGGACCACCAACACCTGCTTTTTAGTAGGCTCAGGGAGCAGGATGAAGGGACTTCAGCTGTGTTTGGGGTGAGGTATCAGCAGTGGTGAGTAAACACAGAGTCCAGAGTCTGGCTGCACAGATGGGCATATAGGGATGTTGCATTTACACAAAGCTGGGCCTGGGGCATTATACGGCTGTGCTTGGCAACTGCTGCTGTCAAGGGACACACTTCTGTCCAGCACAAAGGCATGTAAAGAATACTGCCCCCAGGACTGCCAAGAGGTGAGGCATATACACGCTTAGTATGAGCCATAGCTAGGTCCTGAAAATTCTCCCCACTCTTACTGCATATGCCACCCAGAGAGGCTGCCAGACAGAACTTATGAGATGTGATCCTGACTGTACTATAAGACCCTAGCAGGGCCTTAGTTTTTCCATCTATACAAAATAGTTTTTTTTTTAAGTATACAAATAACATAGTAACAGATTCAGTGCTTTTAGAAATTGACCTTCCACATAACCCAGCAATCCTCCTTCTGGGAATACACACAGAGGAACTCAGATATTTCTACAAAAAAGATACCTTCACACACATGTTTATTGCAGCAGTATTCACAATAGCAAAAACATGGTACCAACTGTGCTGCCCATCGAAAGTGAACCGAGCAAAAAAAAAAAAAAAAAAAAAAAGGCACATGTACACAATGAAATATTATGCAGCCATAAAGAAGGACAAAATTATGGACTTTGCAGCAACTTGGATGGATTTAGAGTCTATTATATTCAGTGATCTTCACAGAAACAAAGAACTGAGTACCACATGTTCTCACTTATAAGTGGACCCGAACACCTATCAACATTACAAGAAAGAAATTGGCAGTAGCGGGACTTTGCCAGGGGAGGGAGGGTAGGGGGTGCACACAACATCGATAATGGCGAACGATCCCAATCCAGGCGAAGTTCAATGGGAGGTCCAAACTTCACCTATACATAGACCACTTATGTACCCAATCCTGGCATGTACCCCACATCTTTAAAATAAAAAAGAAATTAAAAAATTAAAAGTGTTAGCCGGGCTCAGTGGCTCAGCCTGTAATCCCGCACTTTGGGAAGCTGAGGTGAGTGGATTCCCTGAGCCTGCGGGTTCGAGACCCACCTGGGCAACTTGACAAGACCTCATCTCTACAATAAATCAAAAATTAACTGGGCATGGTAGCGTACACCTGTAGTTCCAGCTACTTGGAAGGCTGGGGTGGAAGGATCGCCGGAGCCCAGCAGGTCGAGGCTGTGGTAGCCGGGAGCGTGCCACTGCACTTGTCTGGGCGACAGAGTGAGACTCCAACTCAAAAAAAAAAAAGAAAAAATTGAAAGTGTTTAAGAAAGGCAAAGGATTAATGTACAACCACCTGAGAATTCTATTACACACACGTAGCTCACTGGAATTTTTAACGCACATGTGTTCTTACAAACAGTAGTCCTGGTGGGTATAGGATGGCTGCCACGGACTCCTTATCCTTTCCTGACTTCAGGTATGAGATTTGTGATGATGCAGAAAAGAAAGATTCTACAAGTCACCTTTCAACACCCACTATTCAACAAACACTCTGTGAGTACCTGCTATGTGCCTGGCCCTGTCCTCGACATTGACATTACCCTCTTGTTGGTGGCCTGTAAGCACAAGGTAAGACTGTGGCAGCTGCTAAGCAAGCACTGATGTGGCCCAAGGGGGTGGGGACAGGCTTGGGTCACAGTATCTTCTTCATCAGGGCCCAGACGAGGACAGAAAGCAAGAAAGGAAATGGGATAGGCCATCATTGTGGTAACATTCCAAGGGCTGCTCTGGCACAGGCATGCAGGCTTGTCAGTCATGAACAAAAAGAATGGTGTCAAAAGGGTTCTGCTCTGGCAAATGAACTGATCCACCTCCTCCCCTGCAGTCCTCTCTGCCCTGGGTCTTTCCCGACTAAGTCTTCTCCTTCCAGGCTCTCCCTTCTCACCCAGTTTCCCGATTCCTGCTCCTTTCTTTTTTTTTTTTTTTGAGTTGGAGTCTAACTCGGTCGCCCAGACTAGAGTGCAGTGGCCGCTCCCAGTCACCGCAGCCTCGCCTGCTGGGCTCCGGCGATCCTTCCACCTCAGCCTTCCGAGTAGCCGGAATTACAGGCATGAGCTACCACGCCCAGCTGAGTTTTTGATTTATTGTAGAGAAGAGGTCTCGCTGCCCAGGCGAGTCTCAAACCTGCGGGCTCAGGCAATCCACTCACCTCAGCCTCCCAAAGGCGCGGGATTACAGGCTGAGCCACCGAGCCTGGCGCCTGCTCCTTTCATGCCTCCCCATTATCCCCACTGGACACTCCCCAACACACACACACACACACACACAAACACACACACAATTTTTTTTTCTCTCTCTCCTTTTCTCTCCCTCTCCTCTCTGCCCCCATTATTGTGGCTTATACAGCCTGGTAGGCAGTGTACTATCGGTCAAAAGAAAAGATCCTTCTTAAGCCGTCATTTTAGGGCAGACGCTCCCTGCACACTGCACATTCAAGTCTGGGTTCCCCAGAGTTCATGATAGGTGTAATTTCTCGAGGAGTTTTTGATACTTGAATCTAATGAGATCTATGGGTAATCAGTTTTAATAGATCACAGCTAGGCAGCATTGAAGATATTATGAACAGGTTGCTGGCAAGTCAGACGACAATCGCAAAAGATTGGGTAATATAGTTAATAGGACAGATTATTTGACAAATACAGCTCAGTGCAGATAAGTAGGATGTATAGCACAAGAGATTCAATTAAGAGGACCAAGGTAGGTGGCATAATAGGTGGAGCTGATAGGATGCAGGTAATTATATCATGACACTGTTAATAGGATATCAGTGAGTTGCATAATAACCGAAGTTAATGAGAAACAGGTAGGACACAGGGAACTGGCTGGAGTGAAGAGAAGGCAAGCAGTGTAGTTTTACTTGAGGTTATTACA